CACGAGTATACCTAGCTACATGAGACATAGCCTTTAGATGTTCACATCCAATGATATGATACGATTTGATCACCCCGGATGTAGATTTTTTTATACTTTATATGATTTAATTGATTATACGTGTTTAGATGTGAGATTTTGATTACGAGTTCAAACAACTTTTAATATGAGATACGGTTTAATATTTAAACATGTATTTGATTTTAAGAAATACACATTGCCTCTTAAGTAAGTTTTGAATTATCTTTTATTTTTCCATTTCTCCCCCGTAGTTATGTTATATGTTATTTATTCACTAAATTGTTGTTTTACTTATATCCTATTATTTCGGCTTTATAGGGTTTACAAGATTTTCTATTAACCTCTTTAGAATTAATGTCTTGAAGTTGATGCATTGATCGTGTAGCTTATTTAATTATAATATTTTGAGTCGTATTTTGAAATTATTAGAAACTTTAGAAGCTCGTAGTTATATTATAGTAGTTGTGTTAGGTTGTTAATTGTTATGTATAAGTATTGTAACTTTGGATTTAATATTAACTAATTAGGTTGTTAATTGTGGATCTATAAATTGAGATGGAATTAAGAAGTACCGATTAAATTAGGATGTGATATTGTGAGTTGGATATGATAAGATATCTTGGTTATTACATGCTTGATAATTATGGTTTAAGTATCCGAGGCTTGTTTGAGTCAAAATGGATTCCACAACTCTCTCAATTCTTACATCGATCATGACCCACTTCGAGGGTCGTGAAAAATATTGGTATCGAGCATAGGTTTCGGTGTTTAGGATAACTATATAGCATGGGCTTTATTCTAATTTATGTTTTTACTTCGAATTGTTTTGTTTCTTTGAATTCTTCTCTTTTGAAATATGTCAAATCTAAGTTTGTATTTCATATAGATAGCCATAGTGAGGACTAGGTCGGGTATTTTTTAGGTTTTTTTTTATATTGCTAAAATAGTGTTTGATTTGAGAGCAACCCACTCTTTTGTGTAGTTATATTTTTCCAAGATATTTGGTCCGAATTCATGTGCGTTAGAGTAATTTTGATGGCGTCAACATCTATGAAAGAATATATGATAGGTCGACTTGATGTTTAAAAATTGTGATGTGTGGGTGATAGGTAGGAATTTACATGCGGATTTAATATTATTAGATATAACTAATTTTGATGTGATTTTGAGAATTGATTGGTTAGCGAATTATCATACTTCATTAGACTCGCTATAATAAGATAACGTGTTTTAAAAATTTGAAAGTAATGAAGTTAATCTCGAGGTATATTAGACTATTTGAGACCGATAGATCTTAAGTTGAATTGGAGCATTAGCTTATAAATGGACATTACTATTATAGTTTTCGAGTGTCCACCATGTTTTCCATATTTTCATACTAAAAATATACATATCCGACATGTCCCACGTTTTAGAACCACAAATGATGGATTTAAATTCATGAAAAGCAACTCGGTGGCAACAATAAATCATCAAATTAAGAAATTACACAATAAAAAGATTATATTTATTAATGTCATTTGGATGAATCATTTGACCGAGGAGGCCACTGGGAGGTCGAGGAAGAGATGAGGAGAAAATATCCTTATTTGTTCACTTACTAAGGTATGGTTAGAATTAAATTTGAGGATTTTTTTTAAGGGAGGAAGGATGTAATAACCCGTCCTAACAAAAAAAAAGTTAAGTTAGTAAATTATATATATTTTTGGGTATTTAAGAAAAATAATTATTAGTTAAATTAGAGGTTAATTATATTTTTCGAATAAAATAAAAATTTGAATTTCGTTATCAAATAAAAATTAGTTCCATAACCCTATAAAAAGAAAAGAGAATGAGAATAAGAGAGAAAAAATTGAAAAAAAAATAGGATTGCCCATGTTCCTCCCATTCCTCCAGTTTCTCTCATGCTCTTCTATATCCTTTCTCACACATATATTTCTCTTTACTTCCTCCAACTTCCTTTGTAATTTTATTCTAAAATCTTGCCTAAATTATACTCTAGAAAACCATGAAGGAGAGATGATCAAAGTGAAATTTAAATAGATTAAAGCTTCGGAGGCTTGAGGGATTGTAGGACTCGAAGTTAGAGTTTAAAGACCCGTTTGTCAAACATAAGAATTTTTGTCATTTGGCTTTAAAATTAAGGTGTTTATATGAGTTTATTACTGATTTTGAATTTTTTTTTTAGAATAAAAAATTAAGTTATGTTAGGATTAGGATTTGAATTAAATTGGGGGGTTTGATGATTTAACAATTAATTATACTAATTAATGCTTGAAATGAGATAATGGTAGTGTGAAATTGATTACTCGGATTATGGGTTTAAGAAATTTTCAAGTTGGTTGAGATGATGAATTGTAGAGGTAAGTTGCGAGAAGACTCGAGGTAGAAATTAGTGATGAATTGTAGAGATAAGTTATATGAAAAATTAAGCTAGAAATTGATGATGGATTATAAAGACAAGCTATATAAAAATTGAATAGAAATTTGATGGTGAATAATTGGTTGTAGCTAAGTATAAATTGGGTTGTTAGGGAAAGATTGTGGAATGAACTTGGAATATAGTTGTTAGTTAATTATCTAGATTGGTTGAAAGAGTAAGAGTTTAGTTAAAAAACTTCAATTTGAGTACTTCGATAAATTACATTTTTGTGAATTATCTTGTATCTTGATTTCTAGAATAATTCATTGGCTTTTCAATTATTCTTTGATATGTGATATTAATGATTATTCGATCATTTTGTATCATTAGATTATTCGAGTGGCCGATTTTATCTCGAGCATTCTTGACTTCGTTCGATAATTCGATTTTCCTATGAAAGGATAATAGATAGCATAACATGTTTTAAGTTTTTTGATATTTCCATCATCCATCATGGATTTAAACATGCCTTAATCACATCTATTAGAACTTAGATGAGAACGAATTCCTTGTGTAATTTGAAATGATCCGACATCAAAATGATTTAATATGATTTTGAATAGGGTTAGATTATGTGTTTTGAATAAGAGCTCCACTTAAGATTTGATTTAATTACTTGTTATACTAAAATTCTTAATTATGATTTTATTGGTATAATTTAAGTAAATATTGATTTATAAATTTGAATATGACTTTGTATTTGAGTTTAATATTTAATTATGAGATTTGATATTGAATTGCATAGCCAAATTTGAGCATGTATTGTGTTTAAATATGTTGGTTTTGGAATATATGTAAGTTTATTTAGTTTGTTATTTATTTGATTACCTTGAGATATCTAACAATGAGGAGCGTAGCTCGTAAGCTTATTGATATGAAAATACTCTAGCTATTAGAAGAGGTATAATGCTAGCCCGTGTGTCGGCCAACATGAGATATACCTAGCTACGATGAGTGTAGCCTTTGGATGTTTGCATCTAATGATTTAATATGATTTGATCACCCCGAGTGTAGATTTTCAATATATGATATGATTTAATTGATTATATGTGTTTTGATGTGAGATTTTGATTATGGGTTTGAATAACTTGAAATATGAGATACAATTTAATAGTTAAACATGTATTTGATTTTGAAAAATACGCATCGCATGTTGAACATGTTTTGAATTATTGTCAATTTTTTGTTTTCCTCCTTAGTTATGTTATATGTTATCTCGCTTATTAAGTTGTCGTATTACTCACATCTTATTATTTCAATTTTGCAAAGTTTGTGAAATTTTTTTGTTGACCTTTTTAGAATTGTTGTCTTGAAGTCGACATTTTGATCATACAACTTATTTAATTGTAACATTTTGAATTGTATTTTGAAATTGTTGTAAACTCTAAAAGCTAAACAATTATATTGTGGAAGTTGTGCTAGATTGTTAATTATTATGTTGAATATGCATAAGTATTATAAATTTGGATATGATATTGACTAATTAAGTCGTTGACTGTGAAAATATAAATTGAGATAAAATTAAATAATATTGATTGAATTATGATGTGATATTGTGAATTAGATATAATAAGATATCTTAATTATTACAAGTTTGATAATTATAATTTAAATATCCAAGACTTGCTTGAATCAAAATAGATCCCACAACTCCCTCAACTCTTATGCTGCTCATGACCTACTTCGGATGTCATGACAAAATCACAATAACGTAATTGGAAATGCATAGACAAAAGATAAAATTTACAACAAAACCATTATAAATGGATGAACAAAAGGGAAAAAATCACAACAATGCCAAGTGAACAGTGCTCATGAGAAAATCACCGCAATCATCCCTTAAACGTAAGTGAATAGTAATTAATCTATTTCTTTGAGTGTTTTTATTATAATGAGCATCACTAACCAGATTTTTCCATAGAGATATTAGATTCAAACCCTGAAAAAGATAGAAATGGGATTTAGGGATTATGTCAGACTTCATATTAAAATTTAAACTAGGTAGGAGCAGGTAGTGCCAACAACCAGGAAATTCACTTTCTACCACTTCTTGTTCCTAGTCAAAAGGCTGTCAAACATTCACAAGCATCCCACTCTGCTGCAATTCAGAAGAGCCAGCGGGCCTTGGACACTATCACTTTGAATGTCCTAGTGAACCAACTAAATCAGACCGGACTGAAATGTCAAACTCTATCAGCCAATATCGAGACTCATTCATGAACATATTAAAGTTTGCTTAAAAACAACGAAATATCCAAAATTTTCATCTGAACAAGAACCTAAATAAAAGAAATACGAATGATATTCCACCCTGATTGAACAAAGTTTAACATGTGAACACAGGAGTGCAGTTAAAAGTGCTCCATACCCCCTCCTTGATTCTGCCCCTACGTTTTTCCTAATGAGAGTATGTTTTTTTCCTATCCCTCTTTCGGGACATATTAACCAGATTTTTAGGGACTTCAAACGACAGACTGGAAAACAGACCGAAAAGAGTGCCTAAAACCCAGCACCACATCATTGCCTATATCAGTTCATGTTGTATGCTCGATCATGCCTAAAACATCGACGTATCTGGGGGTGGTCCATACACAGTCCTCCAAGAAAATGGGATGAGCCATTTACCACCTTCTCCTGAAAGAAAACATTACACCAATAAGTATAAATGCTTGACCTCCTAACAGTTTGCCACCTTGACCAATCAGGGCACAGTAATAAAATATGGCCTGCACTCAAAGTTCTTCGATTAATGCAAATTATGGCATGTAAAAGAATGTGTTGGATAACCTAATGTAGTAGTGAGAACTGATGCGATTGATTGCTGGATAACAATGTCCAGCTAAAATAATATTTAATTGCAGAAATTCAAAGCAGTTCAGCATATTGCCAGGAAGATGAGCGTGTAAAATACAGCACCGATCTGAAGCAAAATATTCTAAAATGCTAATAGGTTGATCTGAATAGTAAAAACTCACCATGGGGATTATTGAGACTCAGCCCCAAAAGTTTGCTTGTCTCCTCGGCCAAACTAAAAGCTTCAGGTGTGTTGTCCCCTTCAGAGCAGTAACAGAGCAAGCATGTAACTCTTATGCCTTTAGCCTGGTTCAAAAACCCAAAAGTTTTTACAAGTCAAATTCATTTTTGATCCTTGTATATAGAATATTGTAGTTGGGAACTTAAATATAACTCAGAGCAGAAACTACTCTTCCAACATGAATCCAGTTTGAAAGCTGAATAGAGCATGAAATAAGAGTGTCATAAGGGTGTTGGCAGTTCATTATGCTTCTTGAAAATTATTACCTTGAAACAAGAAAAAAGGGCAGCAAAAGGCAAACTCGGGTAGTAATCCTCGTCTTCTGGTTCATCTTCAAATGGAAGGCTGTCTTCCTGCATGACATTTCCTTCAGCTAAAGTGCTAAGAAATTTCCAAGTCCTTTGAGCAGGATTATATTCTTGCAATTTTTTCCACCCAAGCCGTTCACAACAATCATCTGTTCCATCAGCATTGGCACTAGATAGGTAATATATCTGCAAGCCACTGAAGGTAGCTAAATGATTAGGCAACTGCAGACAGTCTATTCAAAACATTGCTCAAGTGTAGGCAATTTTGAATATTTTCTCCACTGAAAATTCCATGGGTAAGTTCCCATTTAGATACTTTTGCAAACTAAAACAGTTTTATACCCTTTTTAAAAAAGGTCATTTGAGACGTTTTGAATAATAGGGAAAAATTGAAAGTAACATGAATTAAGGGTCTCCAAACAAGGAAAAAAAAAGATTGTTATTTGACCAGGCATCCAATAATGTTTAGATGCAATGAGCAAAGGTTTACTGTTAACAATTTCAGACTAATTACAGATCCTTAAAGCTTATAATAACAGCTAAGCACCGAGTGAAGAAACCAGGATTAGTGATATGAATACCTTGATGTATCAATCTTTTGCAATCTCATAAACTCTAAGCTAGAAAGCACCACAACATGCTTCATTCCAGTATCAACAGCAAAATCGGCCAGGTTCTTAGCAAATTCGACCATCATCCCCTGTTTAGAGAATTTGTCCCATTAATGCTTTCCGAAAAGCAAATGGATAACATGAAATTAAAAGAGAATCAACACATGCATGGTTAAAGTGTTATCCAAAATCAATGGCAATCCAAAGATGTGGAAGATATAAAAGCCACTGAAAACTCTGATTAGAAGTTCCCATAAGGTTCTAGTGACTCAACAATAAATATCCAATCGAATACTTATGAGAGGGCTCAAAAGGGAAATAATAACTGATTGTCAATGCAAAATCCTTTTAGTTAGGCTTTCAGCAGCTTCCAATTCTGTATAGCTAATTTGCAAATGCATAAAGATTAACAATGAAAATACTTTACATAACTTGCATGTCATAAAGTTTAAAATATTGGTTCAGATTTCCTATTCGAGCATCCACGGTTTAAGCACATAGTGCCAGTACACTTACACAATCCCCTTGCATGAATTTCAATTTCGGACACACGAGTTCAACCAACATTACACATTCACCTGGTTGGCACTTTTTTAGCTACAAGTCATTAATTTAACTAACTCCAAGCATCAACAAATAACATTCAAACGTCCTAAGCTTCAATATGCATCGATTCATATATTTCCACTTTTGACACATCCTTACACTCAAAAAAAAAAAAAAATAATAAATAAATAATCCTACTTCCAAATTCATTCACATACATAAATATTGGCAAGAAAAAGAAAACAGGAATTCCCCTACCTTTACAACCGGAGATCGTTGTTGCACAAGCGCCACCCCATTATTCCTCGAATCATAAGCTGCAAAATCAATAACCCAAAAAAAAAAAAAACCTCACGTAATGGTTCCAACAACATCACCACACACAAAAACAAACATCAAACTAACCATGAAAAAAAAGCAATTAAATTAACAACCTTCAAGAGGAAGAGCAAGCTCGCCGCAAGGAGTGGGACCATAAGCATCGTTACCAACACAAGGCAAAATATAAGGATCATCCAAATACCCAATTCTTTCCGCTCTTGTTGATGATACTAACAAATCAACTGCTAATTGCCCGACATTCCCTATCGATAATGCAGGCTAAAACCCACAAAACATGAAATAATAATTAAAAAAAAAAAACATAAAATTAAGCATGCAATTACAACATTAACAACAAACCCTGACAACATTTCAACTATACGAGACATACCAGAATTAGAGTTGAGGTTTCGTTGTTAAGGCTTTTGCCTTCTTCGATTATGAATTCCATATTTCTTTTTCTTTGTACTTCCTTTTTTTTTTTTTTTCCTCCAAGAAACGAAATTTGGGTTTCTATTAAATCCAAAAAAAGTTTCAAGTTCTTGCTGGTTTTAGAGCAGCTGTGAGGGCCCTTCTTTCGACTTGAAGAACAAGATAGATTTTTGGGCTACAGTTTAACATTTTCATCCATGGGTGTTTTAGGCCCACGAATAATATGAGCTCAGTTACCAAAATTGGGTCTTCTTAGTTATGGGCCTACACAAGGTTTCGGTTTTTCTCTTTGTGAGGATAATTTGAAACGACAAGTATTCTACAGCATCTGCTGACATTTTCCTGCCTCTGTGATATTGTCAGCAGTGTTTTCAACCAAATTATTTCAACATTTTTTTCCTTTTATAGAATGATTTATTAATTTTTTCAAAGGAGTGTTTTTGACATTAATATTTTGACCTTTATGACCCGATAAATCCAAAACAATGCAATTGAACCCTTGGAATTTAAGGACCGTCACATTAAATTACCATTTACATCGCTTTTTTTTTTTTTGGTGTGAATAAAGGACTAATTGTTAATCAAGATTCTACTATATATTAGTATTGTAAACTTTACATTTTTAATTGGTTAACTGCACTACTAGTTCAGTATAGCACTCGATGAAATACACCATTAGTTGGACTATTAAGGTATTACGTAAAGATTTACACAATTTTTTTTATATTCGATATTCATTATGCAAGTAATCAACAAACAATCTATTAGACGACCTATTACTGGATGGATTGATTTAACACTTTGATCATCTAATTACACTACGTACTAGTTGATACCATTGATAATTGCCATGTAGACATCCCAAGCAGTGTTAACAAGGGCCACGATTTCATCATAAATTGTTGAGTTATTCTATTTTGATTGAAAAAAAGTTGAGGGTTTCGTTATAAAGGTAAAAAAATCTCATATTTTGAGCTATTTATTAAAGACAAGAGGCCTAATAACAACTAATGCAGATATAAAAGCCTATGTTAAATAATTTTTAGTATGTCAACGTTACATAAATTAATGAGAAATAATCCATTTAAGTTTCAGTGAAAAGAGAAATTATGAAATTATCTCATATTGATTGTGGAAAGAATTAGATACTTGATTATAATTAAGTGAGAGGAGAAATCTTGTTTCTTAAATTAATTTTTGAAATTAAAAAGACCAATAAGATTCAACACAAACCAATTCTATTATCGAATTTTAAAAATTTCTTGATCATCAAACACATTAATTAGATGCAAAAACAACAATGGTTTCTCCTTAATGATGATCACACGGCCAAGTTCATTTACCATTGAATAATAAACGTACGTTAATTTGCAACAAATCCAGAGCTAAAGATTTTTATTTGTATGAATCAATTATCCACATTAGAACCTGAATTTCAATGCAATACATGTAGTTAGCTGACACGTGAACAGATAAACTCCAAAATGCTAGAATTAATGTCAAATCCATGATTAACAGCAGTCACCAAACAAGCCAAAAAAGATTTGAATAAGTTTATCCAAAGCTAACGATAATAATAAACAATTCATGATTTGAGACAGTGTACTAGAAATTAAGTAAACAAAAATCTCCATCCCCATCATATCATTGTAGCTATGAGCCAGCTTGTCTGCCTTCAGACATATGGACTCAGGGTCCAGATGTAGTTGCAATATTTGCCATGTGTAAAGCACTAATAATGGCTATTAGTGCATGATTGTTAGCAAGGAAACCACTTGTCTGATCCCCATACCAATCGAGTTAGTCTAGAAGCACTAGATTCTTGACCATAGTCCTGTTAGTGCTACACAAGAAAGCCATCTGTACAGCACTAGGATGGTCTACCATTTACTATTATCTGGAAACTCTGGAGTTGCTTGCTTTGAATCTGGGATATTTTTCAACATCTTGCTTCCTACTTTGATCGATAATGAAACAATAGAAAGCTCCATATTGGACCCTCATACACCAAACCAGAAAATTTATGAGATAGGTTAGAAAAGTGGGGTTTAGCATAAGCAGCAATATGGCATCAACGTGAAGTGATGGCTTTCAGCACAGTAGGTGCATAAAGGTGCAATGGATTTATAGTCACTTAATTCACTACCGATGAGTCAAAGAAGATGGTACAAAACTTTGTGTTGTCATTTATCTCTTTCATTTATGCCCATAATTGGAAAATAAATTTTATAATACACCGGGAGTAATTAATGGTATGTACAATAGTTATTCAATCGACTTACTTTAAGAAAAGAGATAAACATACAAAAAGAGAGAGAGAGAAATAAAAGAGAGAAAATAAAAAAATTTAAGCGAACGTGAAAATCTTTTTAGCATTTTTGATGAATATAGATGTAATTTTTATTTATTTTTTTTATGTATCTATGTCTCTCCTCAAAGTAGACTCATAAAATAACTACTATACATGTCACTAATTATTTCTAATGTATGATAAAATTTCTCATAATTGGAACACTAATGTCCATTAATGCTAAGCCAAAGAAACAAATCCCCTTTATTTAATGTTCTATCTCTTTCAATCGGTTAAATTTATCTTTTATTGTATTTTGTTTCTGCATAATAAGCAGATGGCACTTTTACAAATCAAAACAAGAAGAAGGAACAAAATGGAAAAGGAAAAAAACGACAAAAATATGTACTTATTCTTTAACTTCAACTTGAAAAATAATTATGTTGGCCTGACAACAGCACCAATAGTTGAAGGGAAGCTCTTTGCACTACCTCTTATTTTTTTGTTTGCAGATATGTTAGAAAGATTCTAGCGTGGAAACATAAGGTCAATGCCAAAGATTAGCAGACACCATTATTTTACAATCATTTGTAGCGCATGCTGTTGCTGATCCCATGCGTACTTTGCAGCAACCAAGTCCCCGTACATAAAAAGCTTACACGATCATTAATTAAAGATGCTTCAAAGAAAGCATGCATTTTACTTGTTCAGAAAAGTAGTACGTCCAGGATGAAAAACTATGGCCAGGTTAGGATTCTTCTTTAAACATCTCTTGAATTTTGAGCGACAATTTACTTTATCCTTGATAAAACCCTAGAGGCCAAGAGGTGAAGTAAGTTTTGATGTACTAAAACATGTCCGATGATATCATCGCAAAAACGATTATCAAAATACCGAAAGTTCATGTTTTAGGACAAGCTGCGGTCAGTAGAAGTCATTTAATTTGGCCGGTTGCCAAGCAGATGATCTACTTATTTAATAACTTTATCGCTAGTTGACTTAATCCTGCTCCCTATTGCTGAAACCAACATTTTTCTAACATTGTAATGCAACGTGTAACAGATTAGAACGAAGGATTAAATTATCTTGTTTGCAGATTCTGTTAAGTGGCATGATATGATCAGAAAAGGAACTTGTTTGTTGATATTAGAAAGCATACGTAAGATTTAGGGTTTCTTCAACATTTGTCGATACAAAAAGAGAACACTTGTGTTAATTTAACCTACTCTCTATTAATTACCAATTCTTTATAACCTCCTTGCTTATGTAACCATCTTACAAGCAGGATCAGTTATAATGTCAAGGGAAATCTTTGGCTTGATATTTTGATTATATTCAGCCTGCAAACGTGTTTAACAATCACTAGACAGGTTCCAAAGGAGTACTACAAGATAATATTTATCAAGAAAAAAGCAAATCTAAGAATCAAAAAATAATGCTGATTATCACCACCTTGCTAGTTTTTTTCTATAAATTATTGCCCTTTATTACCGATTCGTCTTGCTTATGTAATCTTTCATATTATTAAATAAACCTAAGACTGATTAGATTATGACTATGAACTTTGTTCATCAGTAAGGGAACGTGTTTGAAGATGAACAGACAAATCCAGAAAGTAGCGCGAAAAGTTCCAAATAAAAATACAACGTAATCAATCCAATTATTTGATTATAGTATATAAACTAAATCCTGAAGACTGATTAAAAGTCATCTTGCTTGTGTTGAGTGAATTAATAAAAGGTCGTTGTTGCTAATAAAGTATATTAGATACAAATCATGTTTGGTGGCTAACAAACATGTCAAGATTAAACTAATTTGGCTCGATAAACGTAGGATACTTCATCATCATCGTAATTTAAATATTATGAGCATCATCAACACTTGCCTTGATTCTGCTCCCCTTTGCCAAACTTTCAGCTGTTGCTGCTTATGTAATTTTGCCATGTACAACAACACTTCACTAAGTTGCTATGTTTTTTTAAATTGAATTCTATAACTTTATGGTGATCCTTCTTTGAACGATGACCCGTTTATGACTGTTTTATGGGTTAAAGTTTTTTGGGGGCAACTCTCTTTTCAAACTCTAATTCTATACGTTGGTAAATACTTGCGAAATAGAGACAAGTGTCCAAGGGCATGCTTTGTCATAATGGGTGTGACATGTCAGTTGCGTTTTCATTAATTTAGGCTTAATTTTGTTTGACTCGTCATTGCACCAACTTTCTTTTTCGTGTTTTTGGCCCAACCACAATACACAGATAGCCATTTTCTATTTTCGTTATTTTTAAAAAATTTGGAAAATAAATTTTTACCTGTAGAAAAAAAAGTGCGAAATCGTGATATTCTTCTTCTTCTTTCTCTCTCTCTTTTTTCTTTTTTTGTCAAATGAAAAATTCTTATTGTTTTACCTACTGAAACATATTATTGAAAAAATTTAGGAGAATTTTTTTTCCAATTTCGAATTCCTATATATGGACAAACGATGAACATTACGCTTATATGTAAAACAAGATTGGGATGAGAAGGTGTGAAAAGTCGCCCATATGATTACTGTAAATTTAAGTTTCAAATTGTCAAGGACAATCTAGTACAAAGAATATTTTAATTAGATAAAATTTGACAAGTGGGTTCTTGATATAATTCAAAGCAGATAATGGAAGTTAGGTTAACACATACGCTAATTGGTATACGTTTGGGTCCCTTGAAAATGAGCACCCAATCCATAAATGAAGTTTATAATTGTCGTACAATGAAGTCAACAGTTTTTGACAATGCTGTTGGTGCATGCATTCAAATTATTCAAAACAGACCATAAAATACTGAGTATTTCTTACCTGCCAGTAACCAATATTCATATATACACTGAATATGCATGTATGCGAATTCGACAAAAGTACAAAACAATGGCTGTTTTCCCACCAGCTATTTATGTGTATTCACCAAATCATTACGAAAATTAGTAGAGACGTAGTTAGCAAGCATGTTTTTCTTATATGACTGTAGCAGCTATCGTTTGTTTGATTGTTCAAAAAGATAGAAAGTAATATCAACTATTAATTTTTTGAGATTATATGTAATAGTATTTCAAATTCTTTATAAAAAAATTTAATTTTTAAACATATTTTAGAGAATAATATAAAATTGTTTATGTTAAGAGTATGTAGTATCTATATATGAGAAAATAACATAAAATCATTTTTTGAAATTTTATTCAATAATTTAAGTTTTAATTGAGATGGTTATTTGATAGAAAGCATTTAGAATCGATACATTATCTTGCAAATGATGTGATGTAAAGAATATAATTAATAAATTAAATATTGTTATTCAATTTAATGAAAAAGTCATGGATATTTTTTGTCAATGCAGATCACTTTCTTTCAAATTGAAATCCATATCCGCCGAGTATTGAAAGTTTTGGGGTACCATAGCCTACATTAGTGGGCGCTTATAATTCTTACTTTCAATTCATAACGACTGACTTCTTAAAAACTGCTTTGTTAATTTTGGCAGAACATATATATATATATATTTATCCAAATGTCAATGCCAACTTGCTTTCTTTTAATTAATTAATGCATTTTCAAATTTTGACATCAGTTCTGCTCAAATTGTATTTCAAACTGGATATGGGAAAATACAATCGTAAAGTTTACCTACCTGCTGCAATTTTTCAAATGAAAATTAAAATTGGCAAGTCTAGCCCCATCTTGATTATATGGGTCATTCTTAGCTTACCAAAAATTTCAAAGGAAAATGCAGCAACTAGAAAATACATGAATACAAGAGAATACCTGGTCCTCATTTGTGAGCTCAACACAAATCAAAATAATCGAACTAAATTGAAACCATGCACACAAATTTATATCCAGCAAAAACACATTTAAGTTTTGATTCTTAAGTGTCTTGTAATTTTTTATAATGGATTTAGGCTTCTTTGTCCTTTCTTCTATTGGGCTAGGTTGGTTTGTCCTTCCCCTCCTTTTTTTTTTTCATATTTCTTTAATAAATTTCAGGATACCGTCCTGTTTTTTTTTTTTAAAAAAAAGGTACGATGCATGTCATCTAGTCTCTTTGTAAAAATCGGACGATCAAGTACATACCCAGCTAAGCATGCCATGCACATCGCGCCCAAGATTGGGTCTGTACATCCATTAAGAGCTAACGGTCATTTTGGAAGAAACATTGGAGATCCTACGACCGAGGTACTCATCTTAAACGAAAAAATCCCAGTCCACCAACTATCACGACAGAAAAAGAGACAAAATATTTAATGGGAATGCCATTTCAAGAATGCCCAAGTTAAATCTGCACTATCTTGATCATAATGGCGCGGTTTATAGAAACACGGATCGCTTAAGATTAGCATCTGAAACAATCAACATCAAAGCAACGGATAATTATACCCTTCTCACCATGCAATTCTCCAAAATATCAGTTATATAAGACTCTTAACCACTAAATTAAGATTTTAGATTCTCAACTTTTTATGCTTTAGCATCATTAATTTACTGCTCATCTTTTCTAAATTACTCCAACAAACACATTTTGCAAACTCTAATCAATATATATATATATATTTTTTAATGAAGTTCAAACAATATCTTAAAGAGAATACAGCTAGCAAGAAAGTGACTAAAAAAAAGTTTAGAATGCAAGTAAACAATCTAAGTGGCATTCTCCCAAAAGTAGAGATAAATTAAAATAAAACATTAATTGAAGATGAACTATTTATTCTAAGAGCCCAATTGACTAGTTCTTGAGGAATTTAACCACCTTTTGATATCATTTGAGATACGCAGCAGATCATTTCTATAATAGATAAAATTAATAATGATTAATATATTTATCCCAATGTATTACTCTATAAAAATCAATAAAAGAACATTATTTCAATAAGAAATGATACCGTTAAGATTATTCTACATTAGCTAGATTGACCATAAACTTGAATAAAAACTAAAAAATCAGACTTTATTTTATATATACCCACGAATATAAAAACGTCATTGTTGAAAAAGATCATCACTAGACACGGTCCATAAACGACCCCATCAGGTATATACGATTTTAAACAACAATCATCAAACCTCATGATAATATTACAAAAATGACATAAGTCTGGTTAAATACTCCGATACTAAACAAATGTGGAAGAAAAAGTTTTTTGTTTGTAATTTTCGTTGAAGCGCTAACAAGACAAAAACTTATATTTTTTAAGGAAATAAGTCTTTCTAAACATAAGAAACTCTAATTAGTATTTCTTCTTTTCTTGATATCTAATTTTATATCCTTGGCACTTCTCTCAACTCATGAAAAGAATTTATTTTGTAAGTATGCAGCGTAAAAGAAGCAAAACATTCAACCAATCTCTATCCATCTTGAACCATAGTGAACCAATTCATTTTCTTTTATTGAATGAGTTTTCTCATATTCATGTTAGTGTTTGATAAACAATCAAGACGTGATATGATATGATGGCTTACTTCATATATATATATATGTATATAATTTCATAACTAGTATCTGCCTCGTCCTATTATGTTTTTCACTTTTTCTCCAAGAGAATTCAATTTGATCTATGAGCTGACAAGGGAATGGATCGTGTTTTCAACATTGCCCTAGTGTCAATCAAGTTAAGAAGATGCAGATACTATTGATTCTTTGATTGATGGAAGGACCGGACTCACTCAGCACTGACCAGGGACAGCCAACGTGGTCACGCCATCAGGCTAACGTAGTAAGACCTGGGAGCACACGTGTTGGTTGCTAACTGGTAGTGTAAAAACCTCTTTTAGATTACGTGGCAAAAAGCAGATGATGTTGTGTTGCAAGGGAAACTGTTACGTGGCCGTTAGCTTTGTGAAATGTGAGGGATGTAACCGAGGGAGGTCGCTGTCCTTTGCCAGTATGTGAGATGCAGGTGGCAGCCATAAAAGAAGATAAAGGTTTGACATTTGGTGCGCTTAAAGGCATATACATGAAATTAGTAAGAAAAGCGGCTATGGGGCGCCACGGACTTGAAATGTGATGACTTTTTAAGAAGAGCTCATAACGTATGGTTCACCAACTTATGACTTACGTATAAAGATTGTAATATGATGTTATTTCCCCCATGTGATAATTAGAGATGGTCATAAATAAATGATCGGAGAAAAAAGAAGCTAACTTTACTATACAAATTATTTACATGCACTCGAATTTTTGTATCAATGAAAGTTTTTTCTCTTGTTATTTTTTTTTTAATTTGAAAATGAAATAGTGAGGAGGATAACATGTTTATCTAGAACAACATTAAATAGTAAGAAAAAAATTAAAATAGTAAAACCCATTATGAAGCTTACAATAAAATCATGATGCAACAGTTATAATTTTTTTTTAATGTTTAACGTTTATCTTAGGAAGCTAATGTCATTTTGAAAGAGCAAGAATCCTGACTGCACAGTGTAAAGTAGTTAATTAGCATGGATAGAGTGATTAATGGAGTGCATGGATTGGAAGGACATTAGAAAGCGATAATGGTGAAACGGTCCCAAATCTATAAATAAAGCAGATTTGATGGGCTTGATGAGTATCGGTAACATTCCTTAACGTTGTTGTCATAACTCATCCCATGATTTCTTGTTTGCCACTATCATAAAGGTTGCACGAACGATGAGAATCATGATGTATTGATGTCTCGGCCATCGTGATGGTCATATTTAGCGAAAATAACTTTTATGGACAATCAAGAAAAGCGGTTCATTAATCAGATTCGAAGCATGTTTTCCATCGTATTTACGACATTTATCTCCTCTTCTGCACCCAAAAAACGTATTACTCAAAAATGCTTTCAAAGATTCGAGGCAATTAAAAATTGGAACTCCACATTTCTTTTAAAAATTTGTTATAGTCAAATAGATCATCGTATAAAAAATGTTGTTCTTTTAAAATTATCTCATTCCTATCCAAGATTCCAGAACATAAAAATCCATTTGCCTTCTTTTTTTTTGTGTGTGTGTGTAACTAATACCCATCCAAGCAAATCCAATATTGGCATTCGGCTAATCATTTTTTTTTTTTTGTCATTAATATAACATAAATAATATTTTTCAACAGAATAACTCAGCCAAAAAAAAAAAAAAACTGTATCCAATCCCCTAATCAATATAGATATATAGTTTTTTTATTTGAAAATGATTATTGAAGAACATATGAAACATATAATTAGCCACAGAAAGAAACCTTTGAAATTCAAGTGGCCATATGTAGAAAATTAATCAATCGAAACGACTCAATGTACTGCAGAAAAAAATGGGACTCCGAGCTTCAAAAAGTGGGAATCACTAACCAGCCAAGCTATGGTTCGTGCTTAACTGAAACTGATCTACAAGAAATATTCTCGCATCCAAAACGAAATATAATGGAGTAGATTATATATTATTCCCTTTTATTTCGAGAAATAAATAAATAAATAATTTTAATTTTAAAAATGAATTAATTAGTTTTTTAACTAGTATTGACTACATTTAATTTCATATTTTTTTATAAAATATTTTTTTGTCAATCTTTTTATATTTTTATTTATTTTTTATTTTTTAAAAAAATAAAAAACAACAAAAAAAACTAAATAATTAATTTATAAAATTAAAAGAATTAATTAATTAGTTTTTTAAAAGAAGGGGGATTATTTTATAATTTACTCAGTATAATGGCATTAACCATGTGGGAAAAGCACATTACGTCTGCCGGTGCCCCGTCAAGAGTAGAAACAGAAAATGTTGACAAAGTCCAAGGTCAATATTTTCCCTTCTAAGGAAACATTAAGTCAAACAATGTGAAAGAAGCTTGTATGCAATGATCCTTTTTTGATTACCCGGGAGATCATATTCTAGAAAGAAAATCCTAAATATTTTCACAAAATGTATACAGTAGCGTGTAAATCCAAAACGCCTAGCTGCACGAAGAAAATAAAAACATCTCATTCGTTCAGATTGCCATTTTTTTCTTCGTATTCATTAGTTTCTTTTATTACCGGAACTCCCAGTTTCCCGACTCTTCCTAGTTACGTCTGTTTGTCTCCACGTGTCTACCTATCACACCTCTAGATCACCAACCGCTGCTCTGAGCCTCCATCCTCCATATATAGACCCTTGCCATTCTCAAACCGTTCCAACTTTCTGCCTTTCAAACTTTCTTTCAAGGGCCTCTAAAGCTTCTTTATAGCTAAAAACTCTCTCATTTTTGAATTGTTATAAAGTCCTCTGATTACTTTGCTTTAAATGAGACACGAAAGAGGTGGCGCCATGGTTGCAGAACTCTCCATACACCGACCAACTTTTGGTTCTCTCTTGCATTCAGATCCTGCAATCTTCTCTAACCAAGAAGATGATGATTCTAGCAACAAAAACAGCCCAACCTCTACCAATATGAGTCCTAGATATTACGGTAGTAGCACCCCACCAAGCGGCGAGGGCTCTCCTTACCACTCTCCATGGAACCAACCTTCCCCATACACTAAATCTCCATGGATATTACCATCTCCAATCAACCATAAGTTCCCGAACAATGGCCTTATTGGTTCCCTCGCACGTGAAGAAGGCCATGTTTATTCTCTAGCTGCTTCTGGTGACTTGCTATACACTGGTTCTGATAGCAAGAACATACGTGTATGGAAGAATCTGAAGGAGTTTGCTGGGTTTAAATCCAACAGTGGCTTGGTCAAGGCCGTTGTTATATACGGTGACAAGATTTTCACTGGGCATCAAGATGGCAAGATCAGAGTATGGAGGGTATCTTCCCGAAATCCTAGTGCTTACAAACGAGTTGGAACCTTACCAACTCTTAAAGATTACGTCAAAAGCTCTGTAAACCCCAAGAACTACGTCGAAGTTCGTAGACATCGCAACGTTTTACGTATCAAGCATTTCGACGCGGTTTCTTGCCTGAGCCTGAACGAAGACCGCGGTTTATTATACTCAGGATCCTGGGACAAAACCCTTAAAGTTTGGCGAATTTCAGACTATAAATGCCTTGAATCAATCAACGCCCACGACGATGCCATAAATTCAGTGGTCACCGGGTTTGATTCGCTGGTGTTTACCGGCTCAGCTGATGGAAGAGTAAAGGTTTGGAGAAGGGAGCTTCAAGGGAGAGGAACCAAGCATTTCTTGGTCCAAACACTGCTAAAACAAGAAAACGCGGTAACAGCGCTCGCAGTAAATCACGAATCAGCGGTCGTTTACTGTGGATCATCCGATGGGTTGGTAAACTTTTGGGAACGTGAAAAGCACCTGTCACATGTTGGGGTGCTTAGGGGCCACAAGATGGCCGTCCTATGCCTGGCGTCGGCTGGTAATTTGGTATTTAGTGGGTCCGCTGATAAAAGTATTTGTGTATGGCGTAGGGAAGCTGATGGGGTCCACACCTGCTTGTCAGTTTTGGCTGGTCACGGTGGGCCGGTTAAATGCCTGGCTGTTGAAGAAGATGAAGAATCTGATAAAGCAGATCAGCGGTGGATTGTGTATAGTGGGAGTTTAGACAAGTCCGTTAAGGTTTGGCGCGTGTTGGAGAACGCGCCAGAATGGAGGGAGTATCAATCTCCTAGATTGAGTTGCTACTCTTTACCGACCCAAAACAAAATACTCCTACGACATCGTGGGTAGACTGTATTCATGACGCGAGTTGAATGGGACGTGAAATCACGCGCAGAGGGGACCCTGCTATGCCATGCGAAGAAGGGTATAGTCCTGATGCTATGTTGCTGTCTGGATCACTTGATCTTGCAGACCCAATTGCTTGGATGGTTGGGCTTCAAAGGCACGGACAGAAAAGTTGTAATCAAGTGAAGCTATTGAAGGAGGCCAACGTCAAAGAAATTGATGGTGATGAATACCGTCACCATGGTTTCAGTTCAATTGTCTTCAATCATATGTTCAGTAGGGAGGCAATTAATTAAATATGTGTCCCTCTTTGTTAAAATATTTTGGCAAGTTTTTGAGAAGTAGACTGTGGCTGAAGATTAGACAACCACAGCAGAAATATTAAAAATGAGTTTGCTTTAATTAGCTTCCAGGAAATGTTTTGTGTGTTTGAACTTTGGAAGGGCTGTAATTTGTAAACATTAATAGTATCATTTGTACATTTTAATTAGTTTCTGCGTTTGTATCAACAAAGATGTAAAGCTGTGTTTAGTTATGAGAAATGAAATAGTAAGAATGAAAATTGGTTGAAAAAAAATAAAATAAGAATGATAATAAAGAGAAAATAAAAATTAAATATATCTTCATTTTGGTTTGAAGGTGTGAATAAAAACAAGGAACAATAATGGAAATTTTTGTGTAAAAAGTACAAACAAAAACAAAAAATGAGAATGAATTTTATTTTTATTTATTATGTATTAATTATTTTTATCATTACAATCACCATCTTTTTTATTCACAATAATGATAGAATAACTTATTATTATTGTTTTATCAATTTTTTCTTCAGTATCATTTTTATTATACCACCATTCGCCACCTCCACTTTTCTTCTTCCACTGTCACTTCAATGATATCAATTTTTTTTAAATATATCATTGTTATTACTATCACATTTTCTTCATCCTCGTCTTACTCTACCACCACCACTATTACAATTACATGTATTATTTTTACTATCATCATAATTGATGAATTTTTTTTAATCATTATTTTTATTCATATTAAAAATTAGATATTAAAAAATTTAAATCATTATAATTCCTTATTAGTACTTCAAACATAGTATAATTATTTTATTTTTTGCATTTCTATTCTGAACTTTTTATTTCTAACAACAAAACCACAATTAAAGAAAATTTGACCATTGTTATCTTTGATCAATTACAATCGAGAAAGCTTTGAATGACTTGTGAAATTATGGGGTTTTCAAGTATGCTCGGTGGTTTCGCATATCTATGACGCTTAAAATAATCACGATTCCCTCAGGGTGAAGCCCAGTTCATATATCGAACTCTGCATGGATTCTATTAGTAGTTGGGTTAGCACAATCAACTAAATAAAACTGGGACGCACCTCTTGTCATGAAAACAAAATTTATGAATTTATTGCTAGCATGGGGGACGGATTTGGAGGGGCATTGAGGTTTGATGACTTTAGTGCAGAACGAAAATGGTAGACGTGCTGCTTTGTTAGGTATTGTGATTGGAGTAGGCGAGCCAATCAATGACAAAAGATCACTCACAAGATTAATTAATGTCGCTGTGATCCTATTCCAATGAAATTGAAGTTAGAAGAGAAGAAAAGGGCAAACCGCAAGAAGCTAATTAGGGAAGTGCGTGGTTCAAGAAAACACGATAAACCACGGGGAATTTGGAGGTCCACATGAAATTGTTGTTTGTGTTCCTTTCGTTGCACCGAAGAATCAAAATCATTGCTTATAAATCACTCCTTTCAAATTATAAAGTCAATACATAGTTGAAAAAGATTCATCAACTACTAATCAAATGGATGGAGAGATCGAGCAGGTGTTGCTAACTTCTTATGTTTTTCTAGCTATATGTAGGTGTTTTAAACCGAATGTGTGGTCATATCTCTACATATTTTTCCTGTCCTAAAACAAAAATTATAAATTATATTACCATTTTTATTCTATAAGACTGAAAGTGTTAAATTTTAAAAACTAATGTAAATATGATCCACAGTTAATATTATACATTATGAAGAGCTTTTTAATAAATTTAGTTGTTCATATTATAAATATTGATACAAAATTCGATCGAAAATCTAATAAAAATTTTAAAAACTTCTAGTGTATTTATAAACATATAGTGTGTTCGCATATCATACTATCAGGTAGATAGTCTTGGAAGCTGATAACGAAATGTTGAAGCTGATGGGAAAGAAAACCAAATAGATATCTGAAAGAAATTGATTGCTTTGTTGCATTAATTTTGGGGCATCTATGTGCTTCATAATCTCAATATGCATGCGTTTTGCTTAACATGTGCCATTGGCATTAATACTGACACTTGTTAAGGAATCTTTATATGGAATTAACTTCTCTCTAATGATAGGGACACATAAATTTTATTTTATTTTAATAATTCACCATAAAAACATAAATATGTAGTTAAATATTTTATGCTAAGAAAATCAAATAGATAATAGTTGTAGTATTGCATAAGATTCTATAATCCTAAACAATATTAAAAACAAAAAAGAATTAAGCCTAATATTTAAATGAGCCTTTCTATTGGGGGAAAAAAAAAGATTTTGAAGATTGCTATTGTGTTCAATTAATAAAATACTAAAAAAATTATATTTTGAAAAAAAAATGTATTTTCTAATTTAAAAAATAAGTTGAAATTTTTATCATGGTCCGTGATGACCACCTATTTTGGATTGAGAGAATATATATATATATATATATATTATTTTTTTTCTAACAATTGAGGGATGGCAATATAGCTTCACCCGATGGAGATTCATATATCCGCATTGATGGAGATTGATATGAAAAAAGATTTCTATTTGCAGAGACGAGTGTTAAATACCTTCATGGAGGTACGTGGTAAAGGCAAAAAACGGATATGATAACTTCCAAACCATTTAACCTTTATATCTATATGTATAAAGTTTTTGGTCATATTTCTTTATTCCTTACCAAAAAATTTTAGAAAAAAAAATTAATGAACATAAAAAAAAAATGCAAATCTCCAATGAAGGGACGCGTCCATTTTCAAATGAACACAAGATAAAGATTTAAAAATTATCTCCAATAGATATATAATTAATGGATGTAAAAATTAAGAGGAGTTCATCTAAACAAAGGATGCATCCTCGTATCAAGTCGATCTCTATTACCATCGGTATCAAAGAAATGAGAAGGTCTGCTATTAAAAAAAGGAAAAAGAAAGTAATGAGAAGGGATTTAGAGACGAGAGAGGATTACATATCTTTAAAAAAGAATGACGAGCTTGAAGTAAATCGTAAGCCACAAAGCCCAACAATTATATACGGGCTTTCCTGAATGATCCATGGGGAATATTTAGTGGGCTGGATATGTAAGATAATTCTTTCCTGGACCGAGCCAGGGAATTGATTTCGTCCACTTCACTGGGCTTTCACTGATTAGGAGGCCACTTTTCTTCTGTCTGGGCTCTGGATTACAAAGTAGGAGATTGATCCATGCAACTTCGTGTCACTGCTCACTGCCCAACTCAACCTCGCAACTCTCATCACTTCGAGATATATATATATATATATATATATATATATATATCTACGGTTGTCAAGAGTTGGCATCTCTTCCACAGATTATCTATAATTAACCAAATTAAAGGAACTGGGGATTGTAAAATGCCTTGAACTTGTGAAAAAATGTCATAAGCAAACTAGAAAAGAATGGTGCGACTTACGAGAAGATAGCGCACATTCCACAACTTGAATAGGAAGGAAAGCTACATCCTACGGATATAGTTGTAGTTGTTGCAAATTGTCCCATTTGGTATTTGCCGTAATTCGTATCACAATTATGAATTTTACAGCTATTTAAGTTTGTTTGCTTAATTGTTTTGTAAATTATGACTTGAGATCAATACAGATTCAATGGAGATATTCTTTGTGTTACTTTGTTATATTTATTTAATAAAGCGTACGTCCCCACATTCATCTCCATATTTGAGAAATAATTAAGGGGTCTTGGATTTGGACAGGAGCAGGAAGAAACGGTCCTTGCATGAGAGAGACAGAGTGCAATCAATGAAGGATAATGTTAAAACTTAAAAGTAGTGGCAGCAAGCATTTCAAAATCCATGTCTGACGTTCGTTCTAATCGTGGTGGAAATTCATGAGGTGATCTTATAGTCAAGGAGGCATTGTCACTTACCAATGGATGATGACGATGAAGATAACGATGCAATCTTTTATAAATTTGGCAAATTCTCTATCCTGTCTCTTCGTATTAAAAGCTCCATAAAACTTCTCCAAGGGACCCCAAACAAAATCTATTGCACATTTTGCTTCACTCTGACATCATTTCCCAGCAATTTCCTCTCAACGCGTTGATGCAGGAAAAATGAAACAAAGACTATTAAGTCTGAAGAATATTGCGCATCCCACCTAGTCAAGACCTAACCATTTTCTCTTTGAACATTTTAACATTCATTTATAAAGTAATTAATTTTTAATTCTAATTTTTTTGAAGTGATTTTCACGTTCTTAAATCCCTCTCAGGGAACCTTCTTGAACCATTCAGCAGCTGCATGCCTATACAGACTCGATTTTCCAAGAGTAGGTGCTAGCTTAAGAAGCACTGTCAATGGATCGGAGAAATGGTTTGCGGGGACAGTTAAAACGGACTTTCAAAGTTGGAAGTTAGAAATCTTTCTTAAGATTTGGTTTTTACATACAAATTAAGGGAAAAATTGCAAGTCAAAGGGTGGTCATGCTCTCATGGGTTGGTGAAATCGGTAAGATTTGGTCTTTTGCGAGGCTCTGTTTACGGATTGTGGTTATGGAAATAAAAAAAGTTGCGCTTCAACAACTTGACAACCATTGGAAAGGGGAAAATGGATTCTTCGTTGAAGCAGAGCCAAGTACATTGTTTTCGAAATTAGGAACAACATATTTTTTTCGAAATTATATATGCGAGCTTGCCTCAGCCTCTTATGGTTAAAGGT